ATAGTATCAGATACCCCAAAACCCTACTCTAATTATTAAGGCCCTTACATTGATACATCCAAACCGGGAGTGCCCCTACTTGGAGGTTCATGGGTAGTTATAAGTAGGGTTATAAGTCCCCTAAAAAGGGTTATAAATATAGTCACCCTACTTATAACCCCACTTGTAACTACCCCTAAACCCTAAACGCTATTGAACCCTTTAAAGGAACCCTTAAAGGAACCCCAAATAACCCCACTTATAACTACCCATCAACCTCCAAGTAGAAACCTGTTGGAGCTCAGGATTCCAACAGGATCGCTCGCTCACATCCATCCTCGCCTCATGGCGAACTCTTGCAGTTCGCTGTTTCAAGTAATGTAGGGGCCTTAATAGTTAGAAAAGGCTAAGGGGGTATACAAAAAAATAATAAGGTACCCCCCCCCGCCAAAAAAAAAAGAAAGAAATAATATACGTAATTATTAAGGCCCCCTATATTAAGCATCTCAGGCTTCAGCTGGCTTTGCAAGACCCTCTGTACTCTTCCCCATACTCTGCCAGGTGCACAAAACTTCGTTGCCCTTAGAAGGACAACCAAGAATTACATGTTCCAGAGATCCCTAATAGAGCAACAGAACCTAAACCCTAAACCCTAAACCCTAAACCCTAAACCCTAAACCCTAAACCCACCTAAAACACGTAACCAGAAGTTATGTATAGAAAGGAAGACCTGAGTCTGACTGCCAGCCCCGTCTTAGGAACCAGAAAGCCTGGGAACTGAGACTACACTATGATACTCTATGTTAAATTCGTATACTCCTATAGTATATTGCTATGTTTGCCCTAAACCCTAAACCCTAAACTATCAATACTAGTAGTGTAGTCAGTTATATGAGCCCCACCCAGCCTATGAGGTTAAAGACCGCCGCCCGGTGTGCTTCGCCGAGATCACCGGCAGCTGGTCCTTGGGGCTTAGAGATTTAGAGATTTATTGTAGGGGCCTTAATAATTAGTATTGTTTGGGGGTATACTATACTATAACTATAATTAGGAAGCCACCCAAACAATAGTATTGGTAACCCCTCGTAAACATTTTAGTCCCTATAGTGCAGCATGAGGCTTCCAGGGTTTTGGGTCTTGGGCTGCATCGGGTGTGGGGAGGCTGTGGTGCTGCTGCTACTACTAATACTAACACCAACGACAATGATCGAACTAATAGCAACAATAATACCAATTTCAATACTAAGCATACTAATAAGATAAGATAAGATAAGATAAGATAAGATAAGGTAAGGTAAGGTAAGATAAGATAAGATAAGATAAGATAAGATAAGATAAGATAAGATAAGATAAGATAAGATAAGACAAGACAAGATAAGATAAGATAAGATAAGACAAGATAAGATAAGATAAGATAAGATAAAGCTAAGCTAAGATAAGCTAAGATAAGATAAGGTAAGATAAGATAAGATAAGATAAGATAAGATAAGATAAGATAAGATAAGATAAGATAAGATAAGATAAGAGAAGAGAAGATAAGAGAAGATAAGAGAAGATAAGATAAGAGAATATAAGATAAGACAAGATAAGATAAGATAAGATAAGATAAGAGAAGAGAAGAGAAGAGAAGAGAAGAGAAGATAATATAATATAAGACAAGACAAGACAAGACAATATAAGATAATATATGAGCCCCTAGGCGGTCCCTTTGGAAGCCTCCTGGGCTATCTCGAGGATCACGCTTGGCCTGCCACGACTGTGAGTGGGTTTAGGGTTTAGGGTTTAGGGTTTAGGGTTTAGGGTTCTGGGCTCAAGCTTGGAGCGTATTTGTTGCGTTGTCTTCCTCTTTGTCATAGGGTGCTGGTTTTGGGTCCTGCCTTTAGGCCTGTTAGTTCAGGCTTGTAGACTCATCGCGCTTTTTGGAGACGATTGCGACATGTTCGTGACGAGAGCACGAATTGGAAAGAGATGCCGATGCAGATAAGTGCAGAACTCCAGCGGCCGCTGTAGCTGCAAGAACCGCTGGCAGGAAATCGGGATATGAACGCCCATGTTTCCCAAACATATACCCTGAAGATACCGAACACAAGAGGTAAATTTTCAACCGAATACCCTCAGATTTAAGACCTAAAGCATCCTGAACTTGACCCTTGAGTCGTAATCGGCCATAGTGACTGCCTTGTCAAGGAAGCCGCAAAGAATGTCGCAGAGCTTGCCGGGCAGGTCCTGGCACACTCAAACCGCAATGGCTGCCGCCCTACTGCTCGTAAACTTGGAGTGTAACCTTGGTGGCCAGATTGGAAGGATTAAATGCTCTTGCTGTATGTCGTCTTTGTTGCGTCTTCTTGCAGCCTCTAGTAATATGGCAGATGTGCCTCTCGATGATGCTACCTTTCACTGTGTCACCGAGCCGAGGCACTACTGGCGCGATCAGATACAGATCTGTACAAGTCTTAGTTACGAGGGAAGCGACACATGGCGGGGCTGGTGCTCTCAGTGCTATGACTCCTCAAATTCCCTGAAGCATCGCCGTCCGTCTGCTAGAAATCCAAGGTCGGTCTGAAATATGACATTTAGGTTTCCGCACGTTAACGAGTTTGTATTCAAAACGGCAGCCTGTTCTGGGAAAACTCAGGACAACCCCAAATGCATGGCGCAGTGATGGTCTGCCGGACAATGTCGCGGGCCTATGACTCCCTCCCTTGTGCAAGATCAAGCAAAACCCAACTTTGACAAGTACCCGCCAGAAGGACGTCATGATCTGGCAGGGCGGATAGAAAGAAATGCAATTCTTGTGCCATCGCTGATGCCTAGGTGGTGAAAGCAACCGCCGAGGAATTGTGATCAAGTTTGCTGCTGGACATTACTTGTCACTAACGGTCACTAACGTTGTTCAACATTCCCGTGAACAAATTGTCAGATGTTCCCGCTTGGCAATTCACGGGTCTGACTGGATAGCTGACCCTGTGGGCACTTCTCCATGGAAGCGCTGATTGAACAAAACACCCAGGCATTCTCAAAGGTTCTGCTAGAGATCCACAGCAACCCATCGACAATATGTGACTGCCATGTTCCGGGAGCAATACACGTGTGAGGAACTTTTTGAAGACTGGGATGAGAGAGGGATGGAGCATACCGTAGCTGAATCTGCGAAAGTGCGAGCAACAAGCAACCAAGCAAACACACGACAAAGTAACTCATTAGGTAAACAAGCGACCAACGAACCAAGCGAACAAACAATCAATACCACACACAAGCACCAAACCCAAAACCCTAAAGCACATGCAAACACTCGCCCAAGGGCCGGAATCCGAAACGGAGCATCTTTCGGCCCCCCAGAAAACTAAAACCTTACGCCCTAAAGTCGAGTCTACAAGGGTGCGATAAAAGGCACGCTTGCGAAAAGGGGCACTTCAAAGGTCCACAATGCTTACTACAAGGGTCGCCACGTCCCTAAATCCGTCAGATCACACCCTCAAGCCTCAAACCTGAAGCCTAAGACCAAAATCCAGAGCCCTATGAACCCAAAACCAAACTCCGAAGCCGTACAAACCTAAACCCAAAGGGTCCAAAGGACCAGATAATCATGTACTTGGGTTACGGATAGTAGTTTTGTAGGTTAGCATTCAGAGGAGTATATGATTTATTAGGTACTTGGACCCTTAGGGTAAACCGAAGACCCTCTCTAGTCCTAGTCCTATCCTGCCGGGTGCCGTGCCCACAGGTCGACGTCCAAGCATGCCCCGGCAACAGAGGAAGCTTCCTTTCGGGCTTCTAGGATTCCTCTAAAACGCTCCCTTTCTAGGGGATTCGTAATTATAAGGCATTATAAGGGTTCCTTCAAGGGCTCCCTTCCGGGTAGGGTCTAGTGATTCGGGCTTGGGGTCCGAATCTGGTGACGGAGAGAGCGTGGGGTATCATCATGGCCCATGGCAGATCCCGCAACGTGCTTCTGGCTACACTCGCTCGCCAAGCTAGGGCAATGGATTCATGCGCTACTATGATTCTATGACGGGCTCTGGCGGGTATTTGACCGTGCGATTCTGAACACCAAGCGAAGCAGGGCTTGTGTTAGTAGGCCTCCAACGGACGATCCTTGTGAGGAGAGAAAAGGAACGTGAATACCACCTAACAATGCATTCACATCCTCATGTGGTACCGCCGGCACCCTCAGCTTTTTGGCTACCCGCTTGGCTGAACCTTGTCTGTCAGCTGCCGAGTGCTTGGCTATTCCGGGCCACACGTGCAGAGAGAATCAAGTTGCGACGTGTAGCCGACTTGGCGAAACTGCTGTTCTTCGAGATGCAAGCAAAGAGCACCCTCATTAAACGAGGGGCAACACGGACTGGGCTGCCGCTCCTGTCCCATTTCAACGTTGGAAAGATGGGTGTGTTCCGCAGCACATCACACCCTCTTTTAGGTGCAGAATTCGATCGAATTATTCAAACGCGTCTCTGGCCAACGCCAGGCGCTGTCTTCCACGCTCTACCCAGCACTCCAGAAGTGGCATTTTGCCAAATTGCTTGTCTCACGAAACTGAGGCAAGACATGGCAGTATATGTCCACTACAGAGCCTCCAAGCCCAAACCATTCAGGAAACTGTAGCCATTGGTGCCTCTCTGCTCCAGATGAGTTGGCGATGATGTGATGTCGGTCATGCACAGCATGCACCACACCCCCTGGCAGCGCGGGACTCTTATCCGCCCCACGCTGTGGTCTAATCCTTCTGGTCTACAGACCTCACAACTACTTCCCCTAGTTTTCCCACGAAAAATACAGGAGCCGGCTGTTATCGAAAGACTGCTCTGGGTACCCTACATCTCGTAGGTTTGGAGATTTAAGGGCGTGGCAAATGCAGCCTTCAGCATAGATTCGGGTACTACGTAGTCAACATGTTTGTCCTCAAGTGTGATTCTTACAAAGCCCAAAGGCTCCATGTACCCATATAGTAGATACTTAGGCCTTAAAGTACCTATATAGGGACCCCTTTCAAAGTGCATCGCAAAACCAAAGGCCCTCCCCTTCGCGCTGAAGCCTCCTCGAGGGTCTGCGACAAGGCATGGTTGTCCATTCGCCCAGCGCAGATGCCGTGCGCATCCCACCATCGCCCGTCAACCTCCAATGGATGCATGTGCATGTGTGTATGCGAGGGTGCATATGCACAAAAACATACTTAGACATCTGCATATACTTATACATATAGGTAGACACACAGATAGCTACACAGATAGATAGATAGATAGATAGATAGATAGATAGATAGATAGGTAGATCGATAGATAGATACTTAGTTAGTTAGCTAGTTAGTTAGTTCAGTTCAGTTGAGCTGGGTTGAGTTGAGTTTAGGTTGGCTTAGTTTAGTTAAGTTTAGTTAGTTCGTTAGATAGATAGTAAAGACAGTACATAGATAGATAAACATACAAATTAGATAGAAGGATTAGATACATGGATTATAGATGGATAGATTAGTCAGATAGATTGATAGATAGATAGATCGATCCACAGATAGATCGACAGATAGATAGATAGATAGATAGATAGATAGACAGACGGATAGGTAGATAGGTCAGGTAGATTTAGATAGATAGACAGATAGAGTCATATAGATTGGTAGGATAGAGAGATAGGCAGGTAGATAGAAAGATCGATGGACGGATAGATATACACATCGCATTCTTCATGTATTTATCTACACCTATTTAGTTGCCAGGTTCTATGTACAGCACCACCGCATGTTCAGACACACTCCCATGCAGCTCGCCTTCACGATGGCGCTCCTCATGCAGATCAGTGGCTTCTGGGTGGTGGTCCAAATGTCCAACATAAGCACCTCTGGGTTGGGCGAACTGCGTATCTCGTCTCCCGATACTCCCAGTGTGAGATCCTCAGGTAGGGCCCGGAACTGAACGGAGTCGCAGGACCACTGGAGTTGCAGAACGATCTTTTGGCCGCCGGAAGCCCTGTACAAGCTGTCGAAGATGATTGGATGGCTGACGCAGTCCTGCACCGTGGGCGTGTGCTTTCGAAACGGAGTCTATGTGAGCGGCAGGCTTTCGATAGCTGCCCGGTTCAGATTAGCCTTTGTCCAGAAGGGCTAAATGCATATGAAGACAGGGCATGTGCTTTCTTTATCCACACCCTGCAACAATGCGTACTAAGCACCAGGCAAGACTGGGCTTGATGACTTCTTGCATGCAACCGCAATGTCCCAAGACCTGCGCAGGCCAGGCGATGCGGACCAGGTTCATGCCGTAGAACTCGGCGCCAGTGCGCATGTTGCGCAGTATGCGTGCCCGCGCCTGCAACTAGGAACGCTGCACAAGGTCAGGTTCATTGCACTCTATTTCCGTTTTTCTTGTTCCGACAATACGACCTTGGCTCAACAACAGAGGTGCATTGTCATGACGTCTGGCTGAATCTAGCTCATGTCCTTCCACCGAACTCAGAACCGAGGATTCAAGTGCAAGAAATTGATCTTCATATGTCCTGATCTCTCAAGTCGTTTGGCACAGTTGTGCGAGTGCGCAGCCATCACCCGACGGCTGCTTCTGTCTCCATCCCAACCGCTATTTCCGCTGCGTGAAGATGGTGGTGGAGAGGAACAGCACGAGGACAACGAAATGGGCGATGATCATGAGCAAGATGTATCATACACCTCATCATGCTCTACATTCCGCTTGTGCTCATCATCTTCATCGTGGCTGCGGCGGCGGCAGCAACTTCATACTAGTCAGCATCGTCCGCCTGCTTATCCATATCCCGGCTAACAGTGTCAGTGCTCAACTTCATCATTTGTCAGCGGACACTTGCCTTTGCTTCATTCTGATTGTCATCGAGATCAGCTGTATCCTTGCCACTATACTCTTCCTCGTCGTCATCATAACCCTCAATACCACTGTCTTGAACATCTTCAACCTCAGCCCGATCCTTGCGATACTCGAGCAATCGCAGTAGTCGTCATCGTAGGTCTTAGTCGTAGTCGCACGTAGTCGTTGTCGTGGCGGTAGTGGTGGTGTGTTGGTCGAGTCGTAGTCGTAGTCGTAGTCGTGACAGTAGTAGTCGTAGTAGTAGTAGTAGTAGTAGTAGTAGTAGTAGTAGTAGCAGTAGCAGTAGCAGTAGCACTAGCAGTAGCAGTAGCAGTAGCCGTAGCAGTAGCAGTAGGAATAGTAGTAGTAGTAGTAGTAGTAGTAGTAGTAGTAGTTGTAGCAGTAGTGGTAGTAGTAGTAGTAGTGGTAGTAGTAACAAGAACAATCGTAATAATCATAATAGTAGTAGTAGTAGTAGTAGTAGTAGTAGCAGTAGTAGTAGTAGTAGTAGTAGTAGTAGTAGTGGTAGTAGTAGTAGAGTAGTAGTAGTAGTAGTAGTAGTAGTAGTCGTCGTAGTAGTAGTAGTAGAAGTAGTAGTAGTAGTAGTAGTAGTAGTAGTTGTTGTTGTTGTCGTGGTAGTAGCAACTACTGCTACTACTACTACTACTACTACTACTACGACTACGACTACAACAACAACTA